TTATCGCGTAGACATTGAGTTGCCATTGTCACGAGTTGGCAAGTGCTTGGGGCACAAACTCCTGGATACTAGCAGCACTACCTTAGTAGTTCATCTTTCCAGCCTTCTTTCAAGTTCCTTTCTTGTATTGGAAGAGATTGCCAAGTTTTTAAAAGCTAAGGGCCAGATAATGTTGCCACATGGTGGATCACGTGATATGGTAAGTATACTGGAGTATGCGGATTGTGACTTTGAGCAAATACGCCCTCATGCAGTAGTCTTCTATAGGGCCGTTCGATACTCTCTTTATATATTATATACTCTTGGTATTATGTATAATGTATTTACTTTTTCCATTGTTTGTTTATTTTCAGTTTCAATTTTCTCTTTTTCTTTCTTCACTTCAATTAGTTCTTTATCAGCCGAACCAAGACACACCCTCAGATCAACCACCTCCTCACCCAACACTAATGAGTATTAATGAGACCACACCCACCAATAAATATTAATGATGCCACACCCACTAATTAACATACTTGTGTTTCTTGATGTCATTTCTTGTATGTTAGTTTGTAATTCGTTAATTTGTTGTTCCAGTTGTTGGTGTTCTTGTTTATAAAATGACTCCATTTCTGTTAACTTCATACCCAACAACTCGTTATCTGATTTCAATGAAGTGACATTAACCTCACTGGACTACAGGGGGAGGAGTAGGATGTTAATACACATGTAGTACATGTACATACATTAATACAGTACATGTATTAATGTACATGGTCTCACCTCCAGTTTCTTAATTAATTCATTATTGCTAGTTTGTAGTTTCTGTATCGTCTCCAATAGCTCATGAATATCATTACCAGATGACTCCGCCCCTTTCTCCTCCTCTGGCTCTGCCCCTTTCTTGGCTGACTCCACTTCTTCTTGTTCTACAGGCTCCACCCCTTTCCCTAGTCCCGTTCCCTCCTCCTCAATCAGTTCCTCTGCTAGGTTCCTCTTTATTGGCAGTAAAGGTGAGAAGAACTGACGCTTGACTCCGCCCATTGCCACAGCCTTGACCCCACCCACTCCTCTAATTGATACTGGAGTACTAGTGACTGATTTTGATCTTGCTAAGAGGGGTGTGGTCACAGCCTATTAGTGGGTGTGGTTAATAATAATAATTATTATTATTAATTACTTGTATAGTCTTCATTGTAGTGTTGGCCTGTTCCCTTTCGATTGAATGAGACACTTTCAATGAATCAATAGTGCACTATCAATGAATATATTAATAATTAATAAATACATACAATCTTAATGAAGCATCAGAAGTTTAAGAAAAGTGGAGAATTTTCTCCTTTTCATTTTAGGTGAAATTTGACCAAAGGACCCTGCACTATAGTACAGGGTCCTTTAGTCTTATTTGATGCCTTTGGTAGAGCAGCATTTGGACAGCATAATTTGATTCTTATTAGCAAATAAGCAGCAGTACTGGTGATAGGGGGAAAGGAGCACGATGCTAGCCAGTAGTTATTGGTAAGGTCTGTTAGTGTGTTGCTGTATTGTGTGTCTCTCACTTGTAAATCTTTAACTTTCTTATTTGATGTCTTCAATGAAGTTTCAAGTGAAAATATTTTAACTTTGTTCTCTTCTCTTTCCAAATTCAACTGATCCTGAGCCTGTTAATAAGCAGCTAATTAACTAATTGATCAATTAATTAATTGTTACCATGGTAACTTCAGTCTGCAGTTTTTGGCAGCGCTTATGCAACTTCTCGATTTCACAATTGAGTTTACTGGTTTCCATGGCAACAGAAGGCCCAGCCTCTTCTTTGACCCGCCCACTCAACTGCTTCTCCAACTGTCGAGTGTACGTCTTCAACTGAGTTAGCTCCGCCCACAACCCATCACCAACTGATAGGGACTGGAGCCGCTTAACCTCACCTAATGATAAAAATTAATATTGTATAAAACAAATTTTAAGATGAAACTTGTCCTCAATTTTAAGGTCAAAAGTACCAAAAATTTTCACCCATTCGAAGTTAATATTTGTACCTCTTAGTTCAATATTTTCAGCCGCAAATTTAGTGACCATTGGATTGTGATCAATACAGCGATTCAATTCTTTGATTTCTTCTTGTTGTCGTTTCTATGGCAACACTAATCAATTGATGATGTCACTATGACTCACTATGATGTCATCAGTTGTGGGCAGAGTCTTTGACTCTAATTTAGAAATATGAGAATCTCTTAACTTGAGAATCATCTTAATGGACTAAAAATATAATCAAATAAACAAAATCAATAAATAAATATTAAATCACTTTTTCTTGAACCCCGCCCCCTTACCTGTAACGATTTCTCACGTCTTTTATTCAATTCTTGTAACTTGTCAACTTTTTCTAATAAAAACTGTATAGCAATTGAACCACACCCACTAATTAATAATAATAATACCATTTTCTCTTCCTCCAGTCTCTCTTTGTCCCTGATACATGTTAATAACATTTCTTTAGAATTGTCTTGACCACACCCAACAGCCCCACCCACTAATAATCAATTAACTATTAATAATTAATTAATATTGATACCTGCATTCTGATTGGTCGATAGTAATTGTTTCAATTTTTTAATTTCATTTTGTAATTGAGTGACATTACCAGACATATCCTCATTAACAACAACCTAACAATAACAACTTAATTAGTTGATTAATAATAATGATATTAACTTTATTTTTAATCATCTTTGTTCTTCTGGCAAATTGTAAAGTTGACAGCGTCTCACCAAAACACCTACAGAATAAATACACAATATACATTAATGACACTGTACATATTCATACAGTTACAGTAAAGTTACATGTACAGTTACAGTTCCAGTTGTCCCCTTACCTGCTCAGTGGGTGTACATTAGCTATCAGTGTAGTCTTAGCATTACCTCCTAATGAATCCTACAATGTGTATAATAATAGACAATCATTAATAGTTTAATAACACATTAATACATTAATACATGTACATAACATTCATGTTAATACATTCATAATACAAGTACAGTTCCCCCTTACCCTCAGTAGGAAGGTTAGTTTAGAGTCCCTATAGTGAATGTGTCTCTGCTTCCCATTACTGATATCCACCAGTGAGGTTATCACATTACCTAACACTGAGAGGGACTTGTTGATACTACCAGCCTCCTATTAACAATAATAATAATAATAATAATAATAATAATAATAATAATAATAATAATAATAATAATGTAACAATTAATTAATGTATTAATTGTTACTTTTAGTCTTATTCCATCAGTAAGAGTGTCCCTCTGTCTCTCTGATCCTGCCAGATCAATTAAATTCAATTTTGAGCTCCTGATCTTACACACTCCATCATCACCCTCCTATTAATAAACCATAATTGACCACACCCCTAACACCTTTAATGACCCCACCCCCTAACACCTTTAATGACCACGCCCCCTATACTTTCAGTTTAGATTCCACTGATAACATGAAGACTGCATGGCTCCTACTGCTCTCTCTGTTCATTGAAGTACCAGCAACACGTCTGTTAGTATACCCCCTCAGTAATACCTAGGATATCATTAGGATACTATCAGGATACTATTAGGATACCTGGTATGTCTCGGTTGCCGTGGTGACTATTTCTTCAACAATCCCGTCAACATACACACCTCTTTTGATGCTCTCCCTCAAATGTAAACAAACAAACAAACAAACAATTAAGGACAACAAACAACAACTAGCAATTAATAATAATTAATTAATAAAAGGATATGTAGTCCTTGGTTTGATTGGTCCAGTAGATCATAAACCTGTTCATTGTATATTTCAATAAATGAACACTTACACAAGAACTGGGCCATATCACCAAACTAGAGGAGGAGGAGGAGAGAGAGATAATAATTAATTATACCGCATTAGAGTGGCTTTATGTATCAGAAAATGCCATAAAAATTTGGGGCGATTTCTGAGCCATTTTTTGGAAAAAACCATGGGCTACAGCCTTGGGTATTTTTCAAAATTTTGACACTTTCTTAAAATGGCCATAACTTGAAAAATTAAAGTCGGAATCAGCTCAAACTTTCTACACAGCATAAGATAAGGACATCAATATGTATCAGAAAATGTAATAAAAATTTGGGGTCATTTCGGAGCCATTTTTTGGAAAAAAACCATGGGCTATAGCCTTGGGTACTTTTCAGACTTTTGAAGTTTTCTTAAAATGGCTGTAACTTAAAAAATTTAAGTCGTAATAAGCTCAAACTTTCTACACAGCATAAGAAGGTCAGTATGGTATCACATACTCCATACTTTTTGTCTCTCTCTGTTTATTAAACTAAATAAATATTCAAAGCTCCTTGGGATGACTCCTCTGTACTCATGAATGTATCCATCACTACCTTCATCAGAGGGACCTACGAGTAACCATAGCAACGGTAGCCATAGTAACGGTAACTAAGGAGTGGCGTACCTATCATTGTGAACGTCTTCCCTGAACCAGTCTGACCACTAACAATAATAATAATAATTTTAATTAATATTCATTATTATTATTCTTACTATGCAAATATAGTTCCATTGTATCCCTGCATACACCCATCAATGATTGGTCTACCAATTAATGAGAACACGCCCTCCTAATGAATGGATACATGTACATGTACAACCAGTCAGACCGGTTTTACCTGTGTAGTGTTGTGTTCCGCCACATGATCAAAGGTGAATAGTTTAGGGTCTGGTTTAGTGTTGATGGTTATAGTGGTGGGTGTGGTCACACTGATACAGCTGCTAGTGGCTGGTACTGGTTCGGTATCATATGAACTAACAGGACGGACTCTAATGAACACTGTGATACTCTCACCCTCTCTAATAATGGAGGGAGGTAACTGAACAAATATAAGTAATTGCTTGACTTACTTCTCCATTTTGCCGCCAAATTAAAAAATATAATTTTTATGATTATTGATTAATTTAATTATACCAAAAAATAATTAATCCAAAACCACGCCTAGATTTATAATCATTCATTTTTTATCAAACAATCACTATTGGTAATAGTAGTTGTTCTTTTCTGTGTCTATCAATCAATGTCTTCTTTTGATCTTTAAGAGTATCCACCAGGAGAGGAGGAGTAGGATATCCTTTAATCTCAATATATTCAAGTGATGGATGGATGAAGATAGTTTCATATAAATGTTGTACTAGTTCTATCCAGTTAGGTTGAGATGACTCTTTATTAATATCTCTACACCCTATCCTCAGTAGTCTGATGGTTGTATGTGACTGTAACATGTTAGTAACAGCAGGTAGTACCTGTTCATAAAACAATGGTGTCATTATTTGTTTCTTCTCTTCCTCACTACAGTTACTGTATGACTGATCTGGCTGAAACTTCACTTTAAGTTCTGTGAGATTGTTCTTTTGAGAGATGACATTAATAAAAGTTCTTATCTCTTCATTCAGTGGAATGGATACACTCAACTGCTGTAGACTGGTGTTGTGTCTGAGACCAGTTGTTAGGAAGGACAGGAATGAACTGGGAATGTCATCATTAATCTCAAGGTATTTCAGTGTTTGGTTTTGTGTTAGCATGTCTTGTAGACTAGTACCCATACTGCTGGTATATACTATATCTTTCATGTCCACACTCAGAGCTTTAAGTGTAGTATTGGTTTGTAGAATAGTACATAGTTCAATGACAAGGTCTGGTGTCTTTAGTGATAAAAAGAGTGTATGTAGACTAGGATGAGAGGGCAAAAGAAGATTTAATGAATACCGTTTATGTAGAATTAGACAGTATAATCCCTTAATCTGTGGAAGAATAAGTGCCATCTGTTTTCTCTTCTTCCCATATCCTCCTCCTATCTCTAGAGCAGTCAGTGGTGTGTTCACCTCTACTATATTCAGTGATGATGGTAGGAGTTCATCAGGTATGTTCAGTGAAAGAGCTTGTAATGTGTTGTTGTCCTTTAGTAACTGCTCTATCACTCCATCAGGTAGAGGAGGAGGAGGAGCAAAATTTACATGTATTGTTAATGATGTTATTGTTTTATTTCTTGTTACTCCTCTAATGACACTGATAATGGTACTTGTTATTTCATTCTTTACACTATACTCAATCTTTATTTCTTGCAGTGTTGAATTTATTTCTATACATTTCTCAAGTTCAGTGCACTTGTCTGTGTAGTATGTATTGTCAACTGTTGGTATAGTAGTAGGACTGACCATTATTAAGTGCAGTATCTTCAATTGAGGAAGATTGAGGAACTGTAACAATACAAGACAGGGAACAAATTGACCTATGTATCCTATTTCACAGTAGCACTCCTGAATATTGTATAGAAGTGATGGTTGTAATAATTTGTGTATTAATTCATCAGTGGGTTCACTCATACCTACCTCCAGTCTCTTACACTGGGTCTGTAGTGAGTTATTGGTTAGTCCAGCAGTGAAGACTGATAGTTCCTGGTTAGATACAAGGTCCAGGTGCAAGTGATTCCATGTTGTGTTGGAATTGATTATACAATAACTGAGACACAACCAGTCAAACAATGATAATGATACTCTATCTCTATACAGACACAGTGAGTGGTTGTTGATGGATTGTGCTAATACTTGACATAATGTTGTGTTCTGTGATTCATACAGGAGTTGAAGAAGAAGAATCGGAATATTGTCGGAATCATCAGAACTGATATTATCCTTCCAATCCTGTATTCTGATCTCAGGATTCTGATAGAAGTAGGAGAGATGACAAGTCTCAAATCCAGACAATGGTTTCCTCTTACACTGTAAGTCAAGTTGTTGTATATTAAAATACTGTTGATAGCTCTCATGTTCAAGCTGAGTTAGACCTGCCACAAACCTCAGACACATTCGAAAGTGATCATCATCAAAGTGATCCTTAAACACTTCCTCTCTCTTCTTCTCATGCTTAGCTATCCACCATGCAGCTAGAAATTCCTGTATACTCAAGTGAAGGAACTGATACTTCTCCTCATCATATTCTGTGAATCTTGTCATCAATCCAAGATAGTCTTCCTTGACTGCCTCACTCAGTGACTGTAGTTGATGTGAAGAGAATGTCATTGTTGTATTAGCCAGGTTAGTATAAGCTAATTGACACATCTCTTGTAAAGGTTTAGCTAATTGTGATGGTAATGAAGAAAGACTACCCAAAGTATGTGGGTTAATGTCATGTCTTTTAACATGTCTTCTGATAGTTTGTAGGATAAAGTTCTTATAGAGTTGAGTGAGTGTTGTTGGTAAGTGTCCTCCTTCCTTACAATAAACTAAGATGACCATGGAACAGACTAGTGGTACATAACACAATGATTGGACATCATTTCGTACTTTAAGATCATTAATGAGTTTCACTGCTAGTTGTGAGTCCTTACTGCTTTGAGTAGTTGTGAAAGATTTGTAATTTTCATCATCTTCTCTTTTCTTATCAATGAGTTCTTGTGCTAGTTTTGTATCTTTTTGAAGTGCTTGTATAATTACTGTTGATATTTCTCCCTTAGAAAACCCAATGACCTGAACATGTCTACTGAGAGTATCCATTTTCAAAAGTGAAGAAGAGGCATAGCTACGAGAGGTAACAATTACTGAACATTGGTCTAACTTCTCTTTACAAATGATACTAGCAGCTAATGAAGACTGTCTGAGTTGTTCACTTAGTTCATCCTAACCATCAAAGATTATCAATAATCCTTCTCCATCCCTATCCTCAAACCATTCTGGTACATTTTTATATCTTTTAAGTTGACGCACAAACAGGTCAGCTAGTGTAGTAGCTGTAGCTATCTTGCTATTCCTTAAAGGACAGTAAAGTACCAAGTCATACTGTTGGTGTACAAGTGGTCCATTAGACCACATATTTAACAGTTTACGACAGAGTGTGGTTTTTCCAATACCAGGAGGACCATCTATTACTACTCTGAGAGACAGAGAACTATTTGTAGGTTGGAGGACATCTTCAACACTTATCTCTTTGTTTTCAGTTAGTTTAACTGTTTTATCAACTTGTCCTCTTAGCAGATGCCAAGCTGATTCTGCTTGTGTGCTGGAGTCTTGTTTTTCTACTAGTGCTAGTCTTCCAAAGAAATCTTTTCCAATTCTTGGTGGCCAGTCTGTAGCAACAATAGGTTGGTGTTTGTAGTGTTGTCTCATATTGTCAGCATATCCTTGAACATCATCAGGTATTGAACTAATGGATGTGACATTATCAGGTATAGACTGACCTAATGTATTGAGATATAATGACTATATTGATCACTGATAATGTACACACACACACTCACCTAACTGGTGTAATATAGAGGTAGCAATATCTGTTAGTGTACGATGTTGTTGGTTTATTAATACATGACATATATCAATAAGATACTGCTCTGGATTAAGAGAGGATTTCAGCTGTTGCTCAATGACATTCACAAGTTTACTGGATTTCTCATTATTAGTTATTCCTAATACATGCATCTCCTCTTTAGTTTGTTGTGGTATCAGTTCTTTAGCATACAGTGCATCAGTTACATTGTATAGATTCACACTAATAGCATGAACTAATTTATCAGAATGAGTCCTTAATATATCCTTTGGATTACCTGCAGTAGTGTATCAGTTAATGAGTGTTGTATTAAGTGTATGTTTACCTGTTATAGGACCAGGATTGAGTTCAACATCTCCTGATAAGAGGAGGAGGAGAAGTAAAACCAAATAGTAGATCAGGTCAGAGCTACTCCCAATAGTAGCTATAAACAAGACTAATGACTGGAGGCAGTGGATCATAACAGTAACAGTAATTATACCTATTGTAAATACACTGTATGATAATATTATATACTGTTAGTTTGTTTACCAGTTTGAGGAATAAAATTGAGCTTCATATATCTTAATAAAGATAAAAGAAGAGAAACAATAAGAGACAGAGCTGCTGGCAGTTTAGATGTCTTCTCTCCTGATGTAGTACTGCCTGACTTGCTGTCTACTGCAGCTTTGAATGAGTGAGAGTGGCGGCCATTAGCTGGTCTACTGGAGGCAGCTTGACAGTAGTTCCACAGTCCAATACTTGCTCTCCATTGAGAGACATCAATCATCTTGTAATTATTATTATTATTATAAATGACGTTAGAGACCAGTAGTTCCTTTATCCAGTGACTAATGGTAAAGAGTACAATAGAAGTGAGTGTATGTGTACCTGAACTATCATTGAATTATATTCATGGATCATTAACACTATATGCTATGAGTAGTGTCTGTAGTATCAGTACTACATTTAGTAATGTCCTAAGCCCCTAACCCAGGCCATCTCTTCCTGTTCATGTCGTGAGGTACTTGGACTATCAATGAAGCATGTTACATGCAAATTTATTATTATTATTAGTTTGCAGTGCATGAAAGACAGTAAACCCATTGAAATTAAACTATAGTTCATACACCTGGTATCCATGAGAACTAATTTACCTTCAGACTATAGACTAATGATATACAATACAGTGCAGGGAATACTATCAGACAGTCACTGGAGGGCAGTCTCCTTCTACTCCTCTAGCAAGAGAGAGATCACCAACACAGTACAAGGGCTAAAGAGAACAGCACAAACTTGAACTGTAACCACAAGAGGAAACAGTTTGTACAAGAACCACTTCCTGTATAGTCAGGTGCATGTTGCTAAGAAAATAATTACATTTAGAGCTGATTACAGAAAGAGTGGTGAATGATGTGAAGAGTGTTTTAGAGCAGTACAGATGTACTACATGAACCAGTGTATAAAGGATGGGTGTATCAGTGTATGTGTGTGGTATATAGGACCTCATAATAACACTGAATTAATAATAATCAATAATAATACACTCAAGATAATACTAATAATAGAGTAGTTATTATTACAATTTATTGTGAATGAGGTAGTCGTGCATGTACATCATAATAGCCAGAGGTTGTCCCAGTATAATGGACACCCATACCACCACATTACCAGGCTGACCTCTCATCACTTCTAATGACGTTAATAGAGCTAATGGTACCTGAGGGGGAGGGGCATTAGTGGGTGGAGTTAGTAGGTGTGGCTTACTTGAGATAACATAGCAGTGAATGCCCAGGGCCTTAACATACGCAAAGGAATACTAACCAAATACTGAGAGGAAGAGAGAGAGAGGGAGAGGGAAGGAGAGAGAGAGAGAGGGTTTAATGGGTGTATGTATCAAATGATGAATTCTCTCTTAGTCATTTTTCATGACATACCCTACACTATAGTACAGGCTCTTTGGTATAGAAGCACTTAACATAGACTAGTGTGGAATGATCCACTGTACTATAGACTAGTGTGGAATGATCCACTGTACTAGTGCATCACACTATGCTATGAAGCCAGGATTATTATCACAGTAGATAATCATTATACTATAAACACTGGGTATCTCCCTAAACTGATACCATTATACCCATACCATATATGGTAATAGACTAGTAGTTGGAGCAACTTCAAAAATTCATTAAAAATCCAATTTCAATCAGAATCAGTTCAGACTTTCTACCCACCATAAGTACCACTCACTTCATGAAAGAAAGCTGATAATAGGAACACTGCTATCTGAGACATAACCCTGGAATAACCTCTACTGAGCAACGGGTAATACACATGCCTATTAATAACCATTAATAACTATTAATAACTAGCTCCACCCACCTAGCAGCCCAGCGGTGCACTGGTACGTTCCAGTGTCTCCAGAAGGTATCAATACTATCAGCGTTCCACCAGTCCTTGTAGAAGGAGCGATCACCAAACCTCAGTAACTCAGCAAGGACGTTGAGATAGGAATGGAAATAAAAATAGAATAACAATAACCAGAGGAGGTGATTAGGGAGCTATTGGGTGGGAGGGGCTAATAAATATTAATGAGGCAATTAATTAACTAACCGCTAGTAACAGTCCTCTCTGTATCATCATTAATAAATCCATTGACTAGCAATAATAATAAAATAATAAATGAATATTAATTAATGTACAACCATACATGTACAGAGCAAAGCTTTTGAAGCATAAATATTTGCTGATGATTGATTAACTTTCTAATTTTGAGGTATAAACAGTGGAATTCACAAAAGTTTCAACTTCAAACTACTGCATACCATAAAATTTATGTGACAAAAAATTTTTGTGAATTTTGCAATTTTTGTTCTGTCGCAAAAAATAAAATTGCAAAAATTGCTTAATTGCCAAGTGGTTCAGTTTGCAAGCTATTTGCAAAAATTTATTTCACGAAATCTTAGAATTGCAGGATTTGAAAAAATTTCATGGTATACAGTAAATAGCATTATTATTATTATTATTATTATTATCATCATTATTATTATTATTATTATTATTATTATTAATTACCTGAAGTGGTTCCAGTGATCCCATTACAGTAGGTACTAGCCACTGCTGTGACAATGCTAATAATATATTAACTAGAAATATCTAATAATAATTAATAGAAATAAAGTAATTATTAATAATGATATATTAAACGTACTGATTCAAGTGTTCTTCTTAATAAAAATATTTTCCTAATTTTTGGTGTTCGAGGATAGTTCAACTCATAACACAATGTAGGAGCAGCAATGAAATAACAAAAATCTAAATAATAATAATAATAATTAATAATAATAACAATGAAAGGGGCTTACCCTTAACAGTGATATTATCAGGATATTGAACTAATGGTTTGTCGTGGTTATTATTAGTGGGTGTGGCTACTCCACCTTGACCACACCTACACCATGAATTGACTTGAATATATGACATCATCTTCATCCAAACAATTGAATAATTGAACATAACAATAAAACCAGCAGCTGTAGAACAACAACAACAACAACAACAACAATAATAATAATAATAATAATAATTAACGTACCTGGTCCTAGTTTGAACCAGAAGACCACACCCACTGGTAGTGCCAGTAGCATTATCATGTTGCTGGCATGTAATATCAATAGGAGACGCTCCTTTAATAATCCCTATTAATTAATAATTAATTAATTAATAATAGGCTCCACCCATTACCTTTGAAGCAGCTTTCTCAAGGAGAAACGTCAATAATGGAAAGACAGAAAATACTAAAAATAAAATAAATAAATAATAAATTGATAATTAAAATAACAGGAATATTATCACAATTTAGCACATTCACTGTATAACAATAGAAATATGCAACAACAATTACTGACAGACACTCTACACTGTAACACTGTACACTGTAACACTATACACTGTACCACTATACACTATTACACTATACACTGTACACTGTTACACTGCTATACACTGTACATGAACATGAACAGCAACAGGTGTCTGAGTCTATGACTACCAGTAGTAGTAAGTCTACTGGTAGTGACCATACATGTAACAATTATTGATAACTACCAGACAAAACAAGTGACAATAAATGATGATAAGAATATTCAATAGAACACACTGCAATGACAGCTTTATAATACACTGTACTATACACTATAATACACTGCAGTATAATACAATGCATTATACAGGTATATACACTATACAGTACATTATATTATTGATAGGTTATCATTGATTGTTGTTACTCACAGCAGAGTATTGATAGTATTGCTGGTAGTGTCCCCATCTGTAGACTAATGGTCACCCACTGAGCTGGATTAATTAATAAACCATATCTATAATAATAATAATAATAATAATAATAATAATAAATAAATAATAATAATAATAATAAATAAAATATTATTATAATACTTCATTACTTACTTGTTAAAGTTGCGTAGTATGTTATGAAAGTTTGATAGTAACTAAAAGGAGGAGCCATTATTAATTAATTATAATTAAATATTGTGTCACTCACTAGACATATTATACAGTTGTTGAGTAAGCCCCTGTAATTAACAAACCCACTGCCTGTGGAAAAAAGACTCTCCCTAACTTTATGAATCCTAAAAAAAGAAATAATTCATAAATACTCATCATCATTTATAAAAAATAAGCTCCTAAAGTAGAGTCACCAAATGCTACTGCTGTCAATAATGTTACAACAACTAACAATCACAATCAACAGTACTAGTGACTATTATTGTACAGTTTATAGTATCTCACGGTCTGTCAAATATCAGTATCTGCTCATTGGTAGGGACTGGCTCTCTCTCCTCAGTTCCTGTCCTTCTCTTCATAACACCACCAGCCCAACAGTACCAGTACCACTAACAGCAGTATCACCAGCAGTAAGTATAGAACAACCAGTATACCAGTAGTAGGTACAGTACCTGTGGACACAAACAAGAGGATCTGTCCCAAGGTCTTTCTCTTTCAGCTTCCGCCCACGTGAGGCCACAATGCAGTAGGTAGGTGTGGCTATAATCTATTGTGAGGGCGTGGTCATCTTTATATTAATTAGGGCATAGATATTAGAGTTAAAAGGAAATGGAAAATGTTAAAAGGAAAATGTTAAAAGAGTTAAAAGGAAAATGTTTCCTTTTAACTCTAATATCTATGATTAGGGGTGGGGTTATGTACAAGGACACACCTACTTATTAATAATTTTATTAGTTTTTAATTTTTAATTTTTTATTATTAAAAAATATTATTAAACCATTGGCTCATTTTATCACTATTCATCCCATTACATGTAATAACGGAGAACATGCAATCAATCCTTACCAGGGTCCAGTCCAGAACAGTCAGACCTACTAGAGGGGGGGGGGGTGGAGGGAGAGAGCAGAATATGTGGATTATATTGTACATGCATAAAATACATTATAAACATGCGTAATTATACATTATTAACTCTCACTCTACCTCACACTCAACCAACTTTAAACTTGATTCCTGTAGAAATAAAAAAAAGAGAAAAATGTTTAAACAATAGAACAAGTAAAGATCAATGGGACAGTGCTTTATTACATGTAATGGGATGAATAGTGATAAAATGAGCCGTTTATTATTAGCACTGTAATCAAGGTTATTAATAACATGCAATAGATACATTGTTACCATACACTGAAGACTGGGACTGAATTGATGCTGAAGAAGACTGCATGCTGGCTTGAGTCTGTGTAGCAATCTTAAGGAAAGGGAAATAGAATACATGTTACAGATAAGGATGTACATGTACATGATAGTGTGTGGATATCATTAACCAATAGAGAATCATACACTTGATGAGTTGCAGTAGGATTCAAAGAAACTGCTGCAGTGTTAATATCCTGATAATATCCTGATAATATCCTGAAAAAAACAAGAGAACATGTGCGTACATGTAGAAAATTTAAAATGCATAGCTTGACTGTACCATACACTTGATGTATTGTAGGTAGTTCCGTCTTTAGAATACTGATGATATCCTAAAAATAAACAAGAATGCATGTTTCAATTTTCCATTTATTACCAAAACAACATTAATAAAACTTAATTCAGTGTCTTCATCACCTGTAAAATAAATAATAATATAATCATATACTGGACAATACTTAAAATATCCTGAATGGATCAAGTATATGAATATAACCTGTAAAATAGATAATAACAACACATATTTACTGTACAATAGATGGGACTTGAAATAATATACTGAGTAATATCCTAAAAATATACAAGAGTACACTAGAATGCATACATATGTACACGTACATGTATAAAGATTAGGGCAGGACTTTATTACCTACAAACATAGAGTATACATAATAATAATACACACGTACCAATAATGAATGAATGGATCATTGAAATACTGACTGGTTGTCCTACATAAAACAATAGAGCCAGTATAATATGATATAATACACACACTATCATACAACTTGAAATATCCTGGGTTAGTCTTCAATAGCTTCAGTTCTGATGTGCCTATAATGAGAACAAGAATAGAGGAATCACTTACCAGACTGAGGCTTTAGGAGTAATCATAATGGGAGGAGTGGGGTATGGTGGAGGAGTGGTGATAAAATGGCGGATACTAAAAACGAAGAGGTTAGATCAGTAGATATTTACCAATGGTGGATGTTGGTAAGAGAGGGAGGGGAGGGATAAAGAGAGAGAGAATCTTCTACCAATTCATCTTCTTCAGTTCTTCTCTTCTCCTTTTGAAAAAGGCGGGAACAACACGTGCTTCTTGATAGCACGCGCAGAATATCACGTGATCATCATTCCTAGAGTTTCAGTTTACGGAAAAGTACAATAGTATACAAAATTCACGTGGAAGATTATGAAGCCACGTGCAATCACGTGGCCATGGTTATGTAGGTGTGGTGAATAGGTGGTGCTTCATAGAAGGTGTGGCTTGGCTCTTGC